AAGAAATATATAGGGGGAAGCATGGGAATTGGGGGAGGGAAGACGAACACCCCGAAAGAACCAGTGGGGACGCATGGGGAAGCCCTGGGAGCTGTGGGTGTCTGTCTGTGCGTCCCCGGGCCCCTGGAAGAGGGGAGGAGGAGGAGGAGTAAGAGGAGGAGGAGGAGGAGGAGGAGGAGGAGGAGGAGGAGGAGGAGAGGAGGAGGAGGAGAGGAGGAGGCGGAGGTAGGAGGAGGAGAGGAGGAGGAGGAGGAGGAGGAGGCGGAGGGAGGGCGGAGGAGGAGGGAGGGAGGAGGGAGGAGGTAGGGAGTGGGGAGGGAGGGAAGGAGGGAGTAGGGAGGAGGCGGGAGGGAGGAGGAGGGAGGGAGGGAGGGGGAGGGAGGGAGGATGAGGAGGAGGAGGAGGAGGGGGGGGGCCAGCCGTGGGCGGTTGGGGCGCAGGGCGGGGTGGGGCCCGTGCCGGGGCGGGGCCCCCGCGAGGCCAGCAGGCGCGGAGGGCGGGGCCTCACGGGCGTCCCCCGCAGGGCCTGGGCCCGCGGGGGGGCGCGCCTCCTGCGACGAGGCCGCCTCTCCGAAGACGCGGGCCCTGCAGCTAAAGATCAGGCCAGCGCCTTCTCAGAAGCAGGGGTGCGTCTAAACAACAATAACAATAATGCAGAAAGACAAACACACATACAAAACGATAATGAAACACGAACAACAAAAAAAACAGGGGTGCGTCTCAGAAGCCCTCCCCCCGCCCCCCACCCTACCTCTGCGCGACGCCCCTTCTCCTCGCACGCGGGCCTCCGGAGGGGAGGGCTGCCGGGCGTGGCAGAGCTTGTCCGGCGGCGAGCCCAGAAGATCCTGGAAGATACGGGGAGTCAATCCTGGGACCTGTGGGCGTATTTCTTTGCGTGCCCCCTGGGCCCCTGCATTCTTGCAGTGTATTCCCTGGGCCCCCACCTCGTCCGCGCGCACGCCTCGGGCCATGATGCGCTGACCCCCCCCCCCTGCCTGGCCCCCCTGTTCTCGGCGGCGAGCGAGGGGGGGGGAAGCGAGAAGGAGAAGGCCCACTCGGAAGGCGGCGGGACTCCGAAGCCCTCGCGCCTCCTTCTGAGAGTTGTTCTGCGCCTTCGGGGAAGGCTGAGAACACTTCTCCGAAGGCGGGGGGCCTTCCGAGCCTTCTGAGAAGGCCCGCCCCTTCTCACTCCCCCCCCAGGCTCGCCGCCAACTTTTAAGCCGACATCCTTCATTGCTGGCCCCTTTAGGGGGGACTGGCCGACGACGTGAGGGGAGGGCTGCTATCGAGACTGCCCAGGCCGGGGCTGGACAGGGCATCTCTCTGATCGTCGGCCTCGGCAACTACACCGGGGGAGAGCTCGTGGTCGAGGGCGTCGTGCACGACATCAGGTGCCCCTTGCCCCTTGATCGCTCATCGTCGTGCTCCTCCTCCTCCTCGTCCTCCTGGCCCTCCTCCTCCTGTTTTACTCGCCTGCTCGCGTTGTCGATCAGATTCCGCACGCGGCCCGCCGTGCTTCGGATGTCCGTGCGCCTGGCATTGCAAGACAGGCAGGGTCGGCGCGCGCCGATTTTCTGGCGGCCCATCCTCGAAGCGATTTTCTGCGACTGGGAGCTTGGCTGGGGAAAGCACCAGCAGATGGCTCTTCGTGGCCTGGTCTCGGGCACATGCTGGTCTCGGGGCCGCCTCTTTGATCAGGACGCCTCCCCTGGCCCTGAGTGTGTTTGCTTTGTGGGGAGGAGAGGGGGGTTCCCTGCATCGCAGGTGCTTGAAGTGCCCAGCACACGCAGCCAGGAGGCGCGACAACATCTCTGCAGAACTCGAGCGCTCAGCCAAGATGGTTGCGCAGGCTCCGAGTGTCTGGGTGGAGCGTTTTGCTCGGGGGGTTTCCCCTGACCCAGGCTTGTGCGTGTCTCGGCCGGCTTTTGACCAACAGTGGGCGCTCCGAGGAACGGGAATTGATCTTCCTCTTCTTCTGGAGAGCGGATTCGTTTTCACAGACTGCGCTCCACTGATTGGACCTGTGTCTTCTACTCGGCTGACCGAGTCTTCTTGGGAGCGATCTACGGGGTTGTTCCTCCGGATTTCTCGGTATCATTGTTGGCCCGAGACGGGGAAGATTATGCTATCCTCGTGCTGCCGCTACATGTGATTGGGTCTTCCAGCGTCTTTTCAGACTGCAACGCCACGCTGTCTCGTTGCTCCTGTCAGCGGAAGGCCACGTCCGTGGCCAACCCTCGAGCCCACATGTGGCGCAGAGCTCATTCTCGCGAAGACTTTGCTCAGTGGAGGTTTATGCATGTAAAGTCATTGCAGCATGAGACATGCCCGAGACGAGATCTTGTCTCAGTTCGAACTCGAGGGCAATCAGAAAGCTGACCACTATGCCAAGCTGGGAGCCAGCTCTGGTGCTGCTGTAAAAGCCATGATGAATTACGTGCACTCAATGCGCATTATATGCTCAGTGTGTATCGCAAGTGCCTCTTTTGCATGGTGTAGTGTGTGTGTGTGTGTGTGTGTGTGTGTGTGTTTGAGTGTGTGTGTGTGTGTGCGTGTGTGTGTGTGTGTGTGTGTGTGTGTGTGTGTGTGCGCGTGCGTGCGTGCGTGCGTGCGTGCGTGCGTGCGTGCGTGCGTGCGTGCGTGCGTGTGTCTGTGTGTGTGTGTGTGTGTGTGTTTGTGTGTGTGTGTGTCTGTGTGTATGTGTATGTCCCCCCCTTCTGCATGGTGGCTGGACTTGCGTTTCGTGCGCACACATACCAACGCCCCATCGCCAGCGCAGTGACTCTGCCTAGTCGCCGACGCAACAAGTGTGTGTGTGTGTATGTATATGTGTGCGTGTGTTGATATCATGGCCGCTGTCAGAGGAGGAAGAGGTACCCAAGCCTATACCCTTCCGCCGTGTTCCTCTTCGGGGGCCTCCTGGGAGGCCCTCGTCGCCACCGCTGTATTCGCTTCGAAATTTCAGTCAGAACGCACCCCAGGAGAGGTCCAGGGAGTAGCGGTATTGGTACCTTTTGGTTTCCCCAGGCCGGGGCCGTGAGGTCTCCCAGATTTCACGGCCCCCCATTTTTTTCAGGAGGGGAGTAACATACACATTACCCCAGTGCGACCCTACCTAGAAGTTGGAGCCTCTAGGAAAGCAGCATTAGTTGCTATGCTATGCTAAACTATGCTATGTCATGCTATGCTGCGCTATGCTATGCTATGCTATGATATGCTGCGCTATGCTATGCTATGCTATGCTATGCTATGCTATACTATGCTATGCTAAACTATGCTATGCCATGCTGCGTTGTGCTATGCTAAGCTATGCTATGATATGCTATGCGATGTTAAGCAGCGCTATGCTATGTCATGCTATGCTATGTTATGCTATGCTATGCTATGCTGCGCTATGCTATGCTATGCTCTGCTATGGTTGGCAATGTTATGCTGTGTTATGCTATGCTAATGCAGCGCTGCGTTATGCTAAGCTAAGCTAAGCTAAGCTAAGCTAACCCTCTATGCATCGAGACTAGCTCGGCATCAGTCGCACATTGCTTTTGCTTTGCCTTTCTTATGCTTTGCTTTTGATGTTGTTTTTGCTTTGCTTTGCTTTGCTGTCGCTGCTGTTGCTTTGCCTTTGCTTCGCTGCTATACTCTGCTATGATATGCTATGCTATGCTATGCTGCGCTGTGCTGTGCTGTGCTGCGCTATGCTATGCTATTCTGGGCTATGCTATGATATGCTGTGCTGCGCTGTGCTATGCTACGCTATGCTATACTATGCTGTGCTCTGCTATGCTAAAACTCAGCGAAGCTAAGATGAAGGTAAGCTAAGCTAAGATAAACCTGAGCTAAGATGCAGCTAAGCTAAGCTACGATGAAATACGCTAAGCTAAGATGAGATAAGCAAAGCTAAGCTAAGAGGACGTAACTGGGGGAACCGCGGGGCGGATCCTGGGGGAACCGCCCGGGGCGGGGAACACTGCCCGGCCCCTTTAAGCCAAGAGAGTAAGAACCCTTCTAGGCAGAGCCTAGGTAGGGAATAATCGTCGGCTCCCACGAAAAGGTGCAAACATATGGGAAGCGCTGGGGAAGACGAAGGCCCAGAACAGGCGGGAAACCATCGGATCCTGGGACCTGTGGTTATCTGTTTGTGTGTCCCTGGGCCCCTCCTCCTTCTCCTCCTCCTCCTCCTCCTCCTCCTCCTCCTCCTCCTCCTCCCCCTCCCCCTCTCCCTCCTCCTCCTCCTTCTCCTCCTCCTCCTCCTCCTCCTCCTCCTCCTCCACTCTTGCAGTGCATTCCCTGGCCCCCCCCCCTCGTCCGCGCGCACGCCTCGGGCCGCGATGTGCTGACCCCCCTTCTGTCTGGTCCCGTCCTCTGCACGGGGCTGTTTCCCTCCTCCCCTCCTCCTCCTCGTCCTCCTCGTCCTCGTCCTCCTCGTCCTCCTACTCCTCGTCCTCCTCGTCCTCGTCCTCCTCGTCCTCCTCCTCCTCGTCCTCCTCCGCCTCCTCCTCCTCGTCCTCCTCGTCCTCCTCCTCCTCCTCCTCCTCCTCCTCCTCCTCCTCCTCCTCCTCCTCCTCTGCACGGGGCTGTTCCACTCCCTGTTCGGCGCACCCGATCTCTCCCCTCCTCTGAACTCGGCTGCTTCGCCCCGCGCGGTGCGTCGTCGGACTCGCATCGCACTTGCGTGCGTCGCCACGCTCGGTGTCACTGAGTCCCTCGGCGCTCGTCACTCGACGCTGTCGGACTGCGGACCCTCGACAGGCGTCGATATAGCACAGCCTGTAGTCGCCCCCGAGCTAGCCCCTGCCGGCCCAGCGCGCAGCTTCACTGCAAGCGATGTCCCGCCTGCACGCCTCGGCAACGGCCCGCCGATCAAAAAGCGGCGCGTCGCCATGCGCCGCGGAAGACCAGGGCGCCAGCCCTGGGAGCGCGCGTGCGCGAGCGCGCGAGCAGGCGCGGCGCCCGCTGGCGAGCGTCCCCGGCGGAGGTACAAGCCCGTGGAGTTCAACGGCTGGGCCCAACGGCACTGGACTCGGCCCTTCGCTGGCGAGCGCTTCTCCCTCGTGTGGTTCACCCCCGTCGGCTGCGAGGGCCGCCCGGGGCTGGAGGCCAGCTGGAGGGGTGCCTCTTGGGGTCTGGGCCTCCTGGATGGGGTTGGAGCAGACGGGGTCGGAAGATCGCGCCGCATCGCCGATGCATCGGCGATGCGGCTCGGTGTGGCGCCCGACTTACTCCGCGTCGATGTCGCCGATGCACCGCCGATGTCGCCGCTGCATCGCCGCTGCATCGCTGATACAGCGCCGATGCACCGCCGGTGTATCGGCGATGCGGCGCGATCCTCCAACCCCATTTGCTCCTGCCCCCATCTAGGAGGCCTCTATCGGGGTGGGATGGGATGGCAGTTCATCGCTAGGGGGAAACATGCGAACCCTACCCCTACCCCCCCACGATTTCTGGGGGGCCGGGTGGGGTTCGCATGTGGCCCCCTAATCGCGTTTTCTAGGTGGTCCCCAGGGGCGCGAAGACGACCCTGCTCCAGAGGGCGGCGCGGGGGCGTGAGGGATAGCCGCGCGTGGCGCACCGCCGGGCGCTCGCGCGAGAGCAGGTGGCCTGGTTGACTGCTTGCCTTCGCCGAGCGCCTTCCACTGCTGGCGAAGTCCTACTCGCCGTCAAAAACCGGTCTCTCGATGTAAAACATGTGTGTACGTATACGTGTATATGTGTATATGTGTATCTATGTGTGCGTGTATGTGTATATAATACATACATACATACATACATACATACCATGCATTGCATGCATGCATGCATGCATGCATACATACAACCATACATACATACATACATACATACATACATCTACATACATACATACATACATACATACATACATACATACCTACATACATACATACCGTACGTACCGTATCGTACGCACGTACATACTAACATACATACATACATATTACATACATACATACATACATACAACATACATACAACATACATACATACATACATAACCTATACATACATACATACATACACACATACTTACATACTCAAATACCATACATCATACAACAATGACATACATACATACATACGTACGTACGTACGTACGTACGTACGTACGTACATACATACATAACATACATACCACACATTCATACAATATCTTATATATATTGCTATGTATTTATGTATGTAGTATGTAGGTGTATATATATATATATATATATATATATAAAAATATATGTAATCCCTGGGGGGCAGGCCTGGGGCCCACAAACAGCTGCCCCGACCCCCCATGGGAGGACGGGGCGGCCGGGGAGGTCCAAAATAGTCAAGGAGGGCCTCCAGAGGCTCCCCAGACGGCCCAAGCGTCAAGCGGGCCCCGGGTCGCCGAAAGACCGCTCCAGGACGCCCAAGATAGGCCGAAGACGGCCCGAGAGGCCCCCCAAGGCACTCCACCACGACGCTTCAAGACGCCTCTCCAGAGCGCTTCAAGAGGCCAAAGTCGGTCATTTTACGAAAATTTTGGAGAGATTTTGGCCTTCCAGCCTTTTCGGCTGTCCGACGTTCCAAGCCGGTTCCGTAGGCCCCCAAGAGCGCCCCAAGACGGCAAAAGAAGGCCCCCAGACGGCCCCAGAGGCGCCCAAGAGAGCCCCAAGATGGTCCCAAGATGCGCCCAAGAGGGGGACCACGACTCCAACATTCGACCCTCCCGCTTCAAGAGTACCCCAGGAGGCCCCAAGGCGCCCTCCAGAGGCCCCAGGATGCCCCCGAGAGGCACCCAGGAGACCCAAACAAGGCCTCCAGAGGCCACAAAACAGCCCCGAGGAGGTCCCACAACGGTCTCACAATCGCTACCGAGAAGCTGCGAAATTACCTTCACGACGTCCCCGACAGGCCAACCACGAGATCCAAACCAACACCCATGAGGCCTCTGACCCACCACCTAGGGCACCGTTTGGCGGGAGCAGGGACAGCATTTGTGCACAGCACGTTCCAGCGGGAGCCTTACGGAACACGCTGCAGGATGAGGAAGAATCAGAAGATAGGATGATAGAGAGTGTGTGCTGTGGAGGGAGGAATGATGGGGGAGCGAGAGTGAGGAGGAGGAGGAGGAGGAGGATGAGGAGGCATGCAGGAGGAATCGGAGGGGAACGACTACGCGATGAGGACACGACGATGCGGATGATGAGTCGTCGACGACGACAATGTGACGACGTCAACGATTGCCGCGACTGTTTTTGTTGGTGTGTTGAGGTGTGGCGTGGCAGTGTTCTTGGTTTCTTTTATGTCATTGGGTGTCCCTGGGTGACATAAAAACTTTTGATTGACATAAAACCAAAGGGCCGTGGGATTTCAATAAAACCCAAATCGCGTTGCCGCTCGAACCGTCCGAATGACATAAAGAAAGTGAGAACTGTTCCTGGAAACCTGACCGGACAAGAACGGGAAGCGTCGCTGTTGCCTTCTAGGTGTGTGAAATGTGCGCCGCACAGGTCTGTCGTGGCGTGCGTGCGTTTGCGCGTGCGCGTGCGCGTGCGTGGAGTATGTGCATGTGCGTCCGTGCGAGGTGGTCCGCAGCACTGCTCTTTTATGCCGTGCTGGTCTACCGTGCTCCTGCGGTCTGCGTGAACGTATGTTGCCTGTGCGTGTGTGTGTGTGTGTGTGTGTGTGAGCGAAAGAGAGCGTGTGCGTGTATGTGCGTGTGCCTGTGGGCGTGTGCCTGTGTGTGCGGCTGTGTGCAGCTCTGTGCATGTGTGCGAGCGTGTGTGCAGGGTGTGTGCTGGGCGGGCGAGACGGGGCGGGGCGCGACGTGGCCGTTCGAATCGTAGCGGCGTGGTCGTTTGATCCGGGCGAGGCGGGCTGAACCGAGGTGTGGCCGTTTGAACCGAGCCTCGCCCACGTCGCGGCCGTTTGAACCAGGGCGCGAGGCATGATTGTTCGAATTGTAATGGCCTGGCGATCAGGGGGGGGGGGGACTGCCTTTGGACCGAACGAGGCGTGAACGCATCGTGCCGCCTCTGTGTGCTCGAACGGGAGACAACACAGAGGCAAGGTAACAGGAGCACAGAGCACAGACAGGCCGGCAGTCAGCACGGCGGCCTGGAGGGCCCTGGGGTGTAGCCCAAGATGGCCTGCCCCTGTTTTTTGTTGTTGTTTTTTCTCTCTCCCTCTCTATCTCTCTATGTCTCTCTCTTTCTCTGGCTTTAAGCCCCCAAAGCTTCAGCTTCAGCACGGCAGACCAGAACAGCAGACCCGCACGGCAGACCAGCACAACACACCGACACGGCAGACCAGCACGGCAGTCTGGCACGGCAGACCAGCACGGCAGACCAGCACGGAAGCCCATAGGAACATAGCAGACCAGATCATGTTATTGACGCTGCTGTTGTTGGTGATGAACATGTTGCTGCTGATGGTGATGGTGATGCGTACGATGATGATAATGATGATGATGATGATGATGATGATGATGATGATGATGATGAGGATGATGATGATGATGATGAGTATGAGTATGAGTATTGTGATGATGATGGTGATGATGATGTGAGGAAGAATTATATGGACTTCTCGGGGTGTGCTTGGGAGATGTAGGGGTCCTCTGGAGAGCCTTTGGACTAGCAGTTTAAATCTGCGTAGCCGTTGTAACCCGACTCTCGTTTTTTTCATCGGTCTGACCGGTTTATCAGCTTACACGGCACAGCGCTGCAACACGACAGACGGCAGCAGCACGGCAGACCAGGAAGGTCAGACCCCAGGAGAACCCAGACCAGGAATCGGCAGACCAGAACGGCAGAACCGCCGGAGCACGACCGACCAGCACAGCTGACCACAGGAGAACGGCAGACCATCACAGCGTTGTTGCAACAGACGGTACTGGTACACTCCTAACTTGTTGAAGACGTCCCAACGCAATCGTCATGTTCGGCCGTATTGGGGCACTCTGGGGGTCGCCGTGGGGCCCGTTTTGTTTTTTGGGGGCCGTACGGATGCCCTCAGAAATGATTCCAAGACGACATTAGGCTCGCTTATTGTTTCATGATTGTTCGGCCGTCTTGAGGGCGCTCTTAGGGCATAATCTGCCGTGCTCCTCGTCTTGGTCTTCCGTCTCCTCGTCTTGGTCATCCTTTTCCGTCGCTTGAGGGCGCTCTTGGTGCGCTGGTTCTGCCGTGCTCCTCGTCTTGGTCTGCCGTGCTCCTTCGGTTTGGCAAGATGAGGGTTGCGAACATCTTACTTTTTGAGGATGTCTCGAGCGAAATGGCCATTTTGGGAAATCCGCCAACGAAAGATCCCGTGCAGCCCCGCAACCCATATAGTTAAAGATATATATATATATATATATATATATATATATACTCAAGGATTCAGCCAGAACGTCCCGCTTGCTTCTCGTATCTCGAAGACGCTTCCCGTCATCCGCCGGCGAGGACTTTCGGCTTTTCCGCTCGCCCGCCGGGTCTGTTTTCCGACGCCTGGCGGTCCCTGGAGATTGCCGCCTCGAAGTCGTTGACGCCTTGGAAGCGGGCGTGTGTTCGAGTGGGGTGACGCGGGCACATCTGTCTGCACGCCCCGATCAAATAGGTTCGCGCGCCAGCCCGCGCGCAGAGGCGGGCGCCCAATCGGAAATTGTGCGCCTATTATGTTTTTTTTTTTATGTCGGCTTTCTCGTTCCCTGGTGCTCTTGCGGGTGATGGTGATGGTGATTGCGATGATGCGGGAGCAGGATCACGGGCCTATCTTGGGCCCCTCTTGTAGCCTTCTTGGGCCTCTCTTGGGCCCCTCCTGAGCCTCCTGTTGAAGCCTTTGAAGGCTCCAAGAAGCTTCCAGAAGCGACAAGAATGCACCACAAGTTCAACGCGAGCCCCCTTCCATATATATAATATATATATAATATACATACATATCATATATATATATCTATATATATATATATTGTGATGGGGGGCGTCCATCTATATGTATATACATATGTTTATGTACCAACATTTCCTACATGAACTATGTGATATGTATGGTATGTATGTATGTATGTATGTATGTATGTATGTATGTATGTATGTGTGTATGTATATATAGCTGTCATTTCTAAGACAAGGCGCGCAGGGCAGCACCATCCCCAAGATCGAACGTTGCTGTGCAAGCGCTGTTTTAGTTGACGCTTTCCTACCCCTGATCCAGCAGGCAGCACGCGCCCCTAAGCATGCCATGGCGTGGCGCGTCGTCACCTACAACCCTCAGGTCTGGTATGCAGCAGGCCGGCCACAAGCTATCAGTCAAGCCTTTAAGTCGTACCATTTCGTTGTACTTCCTGGCACTTCGAAAGCAGGTCCAGAATATGTGCAGACTCTACCACAATCCCAGCATATATTTTACCACTCTGGACACGATGGGCGACCCCTCAATCGGAGCAGTGGCATCGCCATTGGCATCAGCCGACGAATCCACCAGCAGCATCATCTCCGACACGTGCACGTCCCAGCCGAATTCCGAGGACGCGTACTGGTTCTTCGGTTTCTCCGAGGCGACGTTGATATTACACTTGTGGCAGTGTACCAGCACGTGGAGCCCACCAGCGACACAGCTCGACAAAAAGCCTGTC